AGGCTACTACTCTTTTCTTTTTATTAAATAAATAGTATAGCCCAAAGTTCAGCAGCAGTTTCCGTGTGAAATTCTCTAATCACGGACTGATAATTCAGGCAAAAAGACAAAACAAACAGCTGCAAACCAGGTCATCCATTGGACGCGTGCCTTTGGCACAAATCATTTCAAATCGGATCAGCTCAGATTGTTCTCGCCGCGATGAAGAGATTCAGAACAATAGGCACACGATTAGGTACACGAACTCAAGTGGAAAGAGGCAGAGGCGCCGGGAAAAGCAAATTAAAAGCGGCCACAAGTCCGGCCCAGAGATTCAGCGGTTTTCCGCGATTTGGCAGTCGGCAGCCAAGTTGAAAGTTACAAACTGCAAGTCGCCTTGTGGAAAGTTAAGCTTAGGGTAGGTCGACTGCAAGTAGCAGTTGAAATGGACTAATTAAAAGTGTCTTTTGCTCACACTGCGAATAAATTATTGTTAATACCTTTGGCATTAACATAAAGTGTCCACTTCAAGTAGATAACTCATATTTTATATTTCCCTTTGCAGCTCTAAATGCAAAATGTTCGCCTGGGAAAGGGAAGTCGCTCAAATCGAGTTTAACTTGGCCAGGAAGTTCTGTTTTCCAACGGCAACAAGTTGGCTGAACATTTTCAACTGTCTGTTTTCTTGCGCTTAGGATAATGCATGATTTATGCGGCTGCTGGCCAGAATGTCTTGAATTTTAATATCTTCAACTTTGCTTGAGGAGAACCTGCGATTTCCACAGCGATTTGAAGATTCCACTTTGGCAGTGAGGGCGAGTTGCCAGCAGCCAGCAGCGTTTAAGTGGGAGTTATAAAAAATAAATCAAAGCGGATAAGGAAGTGAAAAACTCCAACTGCCGTGACTAAAATGCCCATAATTATGGCTTCAAATCAAATTTGATTCAATTAAATTAGACAAACAAACAGGAACGGACATAGTAGCAAGCCTCCTCTAGGGCATTGGGAAATTAGTTGACCAAGAAAAGCGGCTAGCAATTAAAGTAAACAATTGTAAACGAGATTGGGCGGCAATCTTCAGTGTGCTTGTACTGAATACTTTGAATTTCTCCTAATTTAATAAATATTTAATGTATTGTTTTAGCTTCATTCATTACTATCAAAACCGGAAATTGTACATTTTGTTCTTAAGATAAAGATATACGAGTATTTACTGCTGACCTAGCCTCTACCTGAAAATCACTCTTTTTGGCAACAGCTTTATAAGATTTTGTATCTCCTTTAATGAAGAATTAAACTGTAATAGATGAGATTTTCCTAGACTCTTAAGCATAATCACTTAATCAATGCTGGCCGAAGTTTCACTTAAGATTTACTCCTTTTACCCATTTTACTACGAGTATGTTTGTTTTTGAAGCCCTGGGGCACACTTGGGGGCCAGCAGAGGGCGCACTTACTTGCACTTGGCTGGTGGGCTGCTGTCCGAAACAAATGTCCTTGTCTTTCGTCCTGGTCCTCGTCCTCGTCCTTGCCGGATGGTTTCACTGGTCTGCCGCTGCTGCTGTTTGACTGCAAGCCGGAGTTCTTTTGGTGCCGCAGAAGGAAAGTCGGCCTGCTTTATAGCTGCAACATTGGCTCGCAGCTGCGTGTGTGTGTGCGGGTGCCAGTGTGGGTGAGAGTGCGAGTGTGTGCGTGGGCCGTGGCAGCCAGCCGGCCAATCGGAGGCGAGCGAAAAGCCGAGCGGTACACGAAGCGCCGTTGCTCAGAAGTATGCAGCGATATTTTTGCTCGCTCGAAAATTCGTACGGTGCGTGGGTGCAAAGTGGAGCAGTGGTGCGATGGTGGGATGGTGGGGTGGTGGGGTGGTGGAGTGGTGGAGTGGTGGGGTGGTAAGGACGCTTTGGGGAACGTCAAATTAGCAGCGCGCTCAGATTTATTTGCTCGACATTGCCGGGGCCAGCGGATATGAATGAATATGAATGGCCATCATTGGCAGCAACGAGTGCCTGCTGACGTAGTTGCCAAAATATCGCCGATTGGGACAATTGCACCCACCCTTTGACCTCCATCTACCACTCTCAGCTGCCCAAAAGCCGCTCAGAACCCAATTAGGCCTAAACTCAATTGGCCAAGTCCCCGAGCGGAGGACTAACACATTCCCTTTGAGCTGGTCGTGCATTTTAATTTTGTTTAATTTGGTCACCACTCCACTCAATAAGTTCAATTTCAAAGTTAAAATGTAATATGAATCAATATCAATTTCCGGAAAATAAGTTAGTTACAGTATTTCCCTAACATCCATGCTGTGCGAATTATTGGTAGTAACCTCGGCAAGATTTGAATTATAAAATGTTAAATACATTTGGAAAGCATTACCTACAGCATAGCTAATCCAACATTAGTCTTATTAAGAGGATATTATTTTAAAAATGTTCTTTTATTACCGACATCATAAGCATCATAACTGTGAGACACTTATTTAAGTATTCAACATATAAATACAATTTTTTGTATGATATTGACCTTTCAATCTTTAATGAAATAAAGTTAATTATTTGTCGCTTGCTTGCCCAGCATTCAACTTTGAACAGGTCCAGTAGTTTAAAATTCCCCTAGCTCGGCAGTTTTTATAGAGATTGCACGTATAAGGGTTTGTAGATTACAGATGCAGTTCGAAAATTGTAAGTTTTCCCCTGGCTCATCAAATCTTGATGGCACATCAACAGCGCGAGCAAATTGATTCGCAAAACGGGTTGTTTACAACAATTGCCGCCTCCACCTCCGATTCCATGTCCATCTGGTATAATCGGTCCTATCGAATGCGATTTAGCTTCTGTTTAGCCTGTTGCTACAGTGAATATCCCCTATCTCGCCCATCTCCCCCGCAGCTTATCGCTGTGCACCCAAAAACAAATTAGCCGATAAGCAGCTGACGGTGCTCCAATGCCCTCCGATCAAAATATTTGAGAACAAACACAGGAGCACGCGCTTTCAATGGATTGTGCCCATCGATGATCATCTGTCTTCTGAACAAACGCCCAATCTGTATCAGGGAGCTGCATCCTCTGACCGACTCTTGATTCCACCCCTTCAAGCCTTCCAAGCTAATCTGATAACTAGTTAATGATTATTGTAGGGGCGGGAAACCCCTAGATTAGGAGGTGCAGTTAATTTAGCCTATAATAAATTAATCAACCAAGAAAACATAAGCTAGATTGCAACACAAAGAGCTTGCTCTCATATTTTATATTTAGGTAGTGAAATTCATGCTTTCAAGTGTAAAACGGTCATTGCGTATCCAGAGGAGTCCAGATCACTTCTTCTTCAGGATGGAGCTGACGACAGCCGGAGCTGCGTAGGTGGTGATAGGAGCAGCAAAGGCAGTTCCTGCGGCATATGTGCTCACAGGAGCGGCGTAAGCAGGAGCACTGTAGGCGGAGTAGGCGGTGTAGGCGGGAAATGCGGAGGCGGCGTAGGTGGAGTAGGCTGGAGCGGAGTAGGCCAAGGGAGCAGCTGCGGAGTAGGTGACGGCATAGGTGGCCACTGGGGATGCGATGAGTCCTGCCTGGGCGGCGGCAATGCAGAGGGTCAGGAAGATGAGGAACTTCATGTTGAGCTGGTTGTTTTGGTTTGTTGGCTGGTCAGTGACTGATACTTTTGGCAATTTCCTCAAACTTTTTATAGGACAAATGTCGCCAATTAACCAAACGGGTTTTCGATTAGAGAAACCCTAATCAGAACACAATTGCGTCCGCTTCGAGATTTCTGGTGCGCAATGTTCGTTGAACGCGGAAGCAGTACTTTGGTTTTATTCAGTCAAAGGCATGTCAAACGGATTACCTTTTTAATTTAGCTTTTCAAAACGATATCGGTATTTATTTTACTTAATATTTACTGATAACAGAGGTTTGGTTTTTTCTGTGACTGCATAAGGAATTAATTTAAAATTAAATTCCTTAGCCTTATAATATAAGACGGAACACAAACGTGTTCCTAAATGCAACTTTAGAAATTTGCACGAAAGTACTAAGTTATACATATGTATTAAGAATACATCTCATTAGTTAACTAATAATATAATATTAAATAATTGAGTCTCAGTCAACGAGACTAAAACCACTGGGATTACAATACTAAATGACCAAAAGGTAATCCATTTGATACGCCGTTGGCTGGCAAACCGGCAAACCAGCAAACGATCAGTTAACATTAGTCAGCAAAATATTGGCCTGCTCACAATTGTGTTCTAATTAAAATTTTAGGCTGTACCTATAAAATGGCGATGAAAATTGCCAAAAGTATCAGTCTCTGACCAGCCAACAAACCAAAACAACCAGCTCAACATGAAGTTCCTCATCTTCCTGACCCTCTGCATTGCCGCCGCCCAGGCAGGACTCATCGCATCCCCAGTGGCCACCTATGCCGCCACCTACTCCGCAGCTGCTCCCTTGGCCTACTCCGCTCCAGCCTACTCCACCTACTCCGCTCCAGCCTACTCCACCTACGCCGCCTCCGCCTTTCCCGCCTACACCGCCTACTCCACCTACAGTGCTCCTGCTTACGCCGCTCCTGTGAGCACATATGCCGCAGGAACTGCCTTTGCTGCTCCTATCACCACCTACGCAGCTCCGGCTGTCGTCAGCTCCATCCTGAAGAGGAAGTGATCTGGACTCCCGAAAAAGCCTTAATGACTCCAAACAATCCAAGCAATTGACCGAACAAATAAAATCATTGTGAAGCAATCTGTTGTACCTGAGTACTATTATATCTTGCATTGTGTAAACCACAAAGCGACCGAGGATCCTCCTCTTAATAGCAACACAACATAAGTTGATGCTAGAAATGCAATGCTCTAGTTTAGCATAGCTTCCGGGGGAATGATCGAGCCTAAATGCATATATAATTTTGTTTAAAACTTTAAATCAAAACCAATAACAACCAAGAAAATAGTTTAGTAGTAATCTGCAAAGGTTCATTAAAACCGACTTACCTTCAATGTTACAATAGAAAAAGGCTTCCGGTATCATGTTTTATATCAACTTTATTAAATTGCTACTTTACGATCAGCTCTTTCAAAACGAATTTCTTATTTCTGATACACATATTCGAGCTGCATAATTGGACGGCTTGCGTTTCAATTGGCCTAAAAACAAACCAACAAGAAGTTCGAGAGTAAAATACAGCATTAAGTGTTGAGATTCCCGATTGCCAGAGTTCAGAGCTGACTTGGAAGAGTTACATAAGCGGAAACGTCGGAGAGAGTGGACAGTTGAGCTTAGCTTAGCTTAGTAGAAGGAGCGGATAAACCAAAGACCCAGCAGGGAGCTAAGGATGGCGCTTACGCTGGCCAAGGATGGAGTCGAGGCTCCATTGTGCTGGTTGCAGATGCGCGGCTGCGGGGCGGATACGTATTTGCAGATGGTGCCCACGAAGTTGACCTGGGCGCGGTCATTGACCTTCTTGTCGAATTGCTGAGAGTGGAAGAATATAATGGTTTCCATTATCAGGAGGGGATTGGTCAAGGACATAGGATTGCTTATTATTTTAAAAATGCAAGGCTAACTGCAGTGATGCATTTAATGTAATAGGATTTACTGACCTCATTGAACAGGATGGTGGGGACGCTGGTCAGGGGCTCCTTGAGCCGCATGGTGGCCTCGCCGGCCTTCCTGAGCAGAACGCTTCCCTCGGTGGAGTTGGCGCAGGTCTTGATGTTCTCCCAGTTGTTGATGTGGTTCTCCGAGGCGCATCGCTGGCCGGGATAGACGTTGTCCGGGAAATTCTTTCCGGCCTTCATCAGGCAGTTGATGAAGTCCATCGTGAGCGACTCGCGCGTGTACTCCACCTGGTAGGAGTTGGCCTGGATGTGCTCTATGGCGCAGGCATGCACCTTGTTGCCATAGCACTCGTTCGGGCCGTGGTGGCAGGTGAACGTCACCTCGGAGCCCTGGGTAAAGAACTGGGGAGGAGGCCAGGCCAGGAGCCATGCAAATGAGCCATTGTCCTGCCGATAAACGGGGCCAAGGGGCCACGGGGCCACTCACCTGAGACTTTCCGAATGGTACGAAGGTGAGTTCCACCACATCACGCAGCTCTCCCTTCACCGCCGGATACACCTGCTCCGTAATGAACTTGGCGCTGTCCGGGCACAGGGACTCGTAGTAGATGGAAATGGGCACCTGCAGCGCAGAACAGGGTATGGTAAGTTAGTCTTATATATTATATACTTATACTTAGTGTGATTGTCATTAAATTTTGAAACATTTTACTAGTCTTAATAGTCTTTATAGAACATCTCAAGAATTAATAGGTTTCACAAGATTTTGATTCAATTCAATTTCGCACTCATTTTAATCAATCATTTTAAGGCAATTTACGTTGCATTACTTGTTAGCCACCTATCATTATATGTAATGGTTGAAGTCTTTTCAATGGTCATTGAGGGTGCATTGCGTAATTTGCATTTTTCGAGAGTGCAGCCAAGCCGAGGCATGCAAATCACTTGCGGCTGAGGGGACAGGGCCCAAATATGGCTACCCTTTGTTTATCAATTGGGGACAACAGCCACACGCTCCAGTCAACGAGCCAAAATATTGCTGAACTTGGACGCCATGCACATGAATGCCGTAGAAAAGGAAAATAAATATGAACCTATATGTGCGTATCAAATATCTTACGGCTTGATTTAAATTGAACATTTAGTAGTACATTATACTCAGCCATATTGTCTTTTGAAAAATTGTAACTTAAGGCTTTAACTGCGATTTATTTATTATTGGATATTTATTAGAGGCAATATGGTATTCAGATTTGACATGGAAATGTGTGTATTTTATATGTATATATTATATATTTGGTTTCTTATCTTGAGCTTACTCCCCCAATTGAAATAAATTCAGAAATGGTGACACATTTATGAACCTATTTATCAGAGATATATTGCTGACTTTAGCATTCTTTTAAGTATTCACCAAGCTCCCAAAATTAAGAATTGCGTACAGTTAGCCTTAAATAGCAAACAATAAAATATTTTCCAGCAAATGCCCTATTTTAAAGCTTACGTGCTTGTAATACATATGGCTGTGCAATCAAAGGCATTTAATGTAATTTCAGTTGACTATTATTTTAGCCCAATTGAAGCTGTGTTTAGATGCCAAATATAAGTACATTTCTGAAAGCCCGTGATCGAAGCGCAAATGTCTGAACACAATGCCAACCGAAAAGCAGGGGCAATGAAAAATAAAGAAAATAATCACAAGTATCTACTGACGTGTATGAACACAAATGCAAATGGCTTTTTGCTGGAGTTGAAGTTATATAAAAGCTAATGACACATCGCTGAAAGAACCCGCGCCATTCTTCTCGATCTAAACAACAACAGCAGCAGACTCAGCGAAGTATATATGTACATACATACATGAACCATTGTACCGCACATATGTGCACACAAAAAAATTATACCTGGCTTTGGAACGTGATGAAAACACCTTAACGGGGTTGTGAGAGTGCAAAAATATGGATGACTAATTGTAGAAACCCAGGTAATCCTTTCTATTAGTAGTCTGCGATGAAATATATGTCATTTAAATACCCTAACACTTGTTTCTCTAAATATATCTTTAGCATACATAATTAATAAAAAAATCAAATTATAATCGTATAATAAACAATTTGCAATGGCTAAAATGAAATACACATATGCTCTGAAATAATTACTTTACATTAACAATTCATTAAAGAGAAACTATCTAGTGTTAGAAATTGCTAAGCTTGAAATGAATATGTCCACAAGGTATCTCCTGCTTGACTTAGCTGAAACTTTTTGGGACCCCATGCACGTTGTGTTCAGTGTAGAATGAAGTTGCAGTTGGGGCTGAGCCGGCGAACACCGGTTCTTCTGTGAGAAATCGAAACTGGTCTCCGAACCGGTTCTTTGCCCAAATGAAAATAACAACAGAGCAACAGGGCGCTCTCCGCCTCACTTATACATATGTACATACATGCATACATATCTACGCTTTTCCACGGTGGCGGCATTTTCCGATCCGACGACTGAGACTGGTGGCACAGTTCGTTAAACTCTCGAAATGCCACTTGTTGCTGCCACGAAAAGGGTGCAGCTTTTCTATGCTTTTTTTGTATTATGTATTTTTCATCTACACCCCATCTATTTAGTTGTTCGACTCAATCACGTCTTCACCTAAATACATAAGTATGTAAATGTTAAATGCCATACGGAGTGCCCCTGACACGCTTTGCGGTTGTGTAATGGCTAAGTTTGGCCTGCGGATTTTTCGTTGGCTTCACGGAGGGTTTTCCGAGCCGGAAACTCACCTTAGCAGCGCCATAGACGGAGGCAATCACGCAGCTCATCAGGAGGCAGACGGCGGCGATTTTGTGACTCATCTTCAGGCTTCTCGTTCTTCAAATTCCTAATATATAGAGGTATGTGCCAGCAAGTAACGAGCAGCAGTCGTGTTGTTAGCGGTTCGGTGGCTGAGCGCGAACTGTTGTTTGTTGTAGAGAGCTTGGCGCTTAGGCCGCAGTTCCAGTTCCAGTCAAAAGCCGATTTCCAGACTGGAAGAAGAGTGAGACCTAACTGCACTATAATTTGGGATGGGCTTCTGTTGGGTTCATATTCCAGACTCGCGATCGGGAGTTTCAGTCGGAGAGTGAGTTTGAGCCAAGTGTAGAGCGAAATGAGAGAGGAGTTTTAGATAGCCGAAGCTTTCATACTCTTTTGATTTGCATTATAATGTATTTCATACTCGCTTTCAATATCCTAGCATTAGGAAATAAGTTCTGCTCGCTCTTTAATCGACAATATTTATATTTGGAAATTAAAGAACCGATTTCTGCCGGACTATTTATTATTTTAGTTCAGATGCATACTGTATTAGAGGTATTTCAAGCAGCTCTCAGTGAACACAACCCAATTAAGGATGGATTTATTCGTACATACATATATGCTTTTACAACTGTGTTTCATTCTTTCCAAGCATGTTTTATCAAAACCTCAACATAATTTGGCCACCAAACTTCCGGCACTGGGGAAATCAGAGCCAACAAGCCTCTCGCCCACACAAAATGCGGAGTTGCTTAAAATTGCGTGATTTTTGTTTTATAAATAATGGAATTACAGATTAACATGCACAAGTCCTGGGAGCTGGAGGTCCCCTAGTTCCCCATTAGTCCCGAAACCGGAATCCTTGGGCTATCAGATCCTTGCGAGCCTCCAGAATTTCATCCTGCAGCTCCTTGGCGGCCACGGGACAATCGTTGAACGTCAGAGTTCTATATAGAACAGTCCAAACGGAATAGATCTTAGGGCAGTATGCAGTAGTAGTCAGTAGGAGTAGTTATCTAGATTCCTATACATGAACTCACCCCGAAAATCACGAGGAGAGCAAGTGGCAGAAGCTGAATGTGCAGAAAGTACTTGGTAGTCAATTGCGTTTGCACTGTTCCCAAAAGAACGGAAAGGTAGGGAATCGCGAAGAGCGATGCGTAAAACAGCCAGCGTTGTAGATTGGTCATAGCTAACGAAATTTATTGGTAAACAAAACTAAATCGAAAATAAAGTTCTACACGTAAACATAGAGCTGGCACTTAAGCCGATGTTCGCCCGGCACTTCGATACCGATATTTACCGGCTGCTATCGATTATTTCTTAAAATCTAGTGGGACGTGGTTCCAATAAGTAATTAGAGTTTTACACTTTTCCAATAAGATAACTGCCAGCTAGACAATTTTTAATATTCCAATTGGCTACCATAGGCCCGTAACATAGCAGAAAGCTGTCTACAGTTAGCAATGCAAACGCCATAGCAAGCAGCTAACCACAGTTACTAATGTAAGCACCGCCTATCGATAGGCGAAAGTTGCGCCACAGCGGCCAGCCTTCTACAGCTAGCAATTCAAATCGGTGTAATCGATAGACGCAGATTCAAACTAGTTACACCTAAGATTTAATTAAACGTTGGTGGGCGTGGCTTCTGCAGCGCCCACTGTACACGGCGTATTGGCAAGCAGGTCAGCGGTTCGGCAGCCAATTATTTGGAACTTGACCTCGTTCTCGGGCAACTCGCCGCCCACAAACAGTTTCGGCTGGCTGCTCAAGGCCCACAGCTCCTCCTCTCCCTTGGAATTCCGGTTGATCTTGAGCCCCGTGACGAACTTGATCTTGTGCGGATTGTAGGCCACCACACGCAGGTCGTCCGCCGTGTAGTTGGCCTCCGACTCCTCCCATTTCACCAGAGCTCCCAAGCTGATGAGGCTGCAGTAGAGATTCCCCGACTGGTCCATTACCTCCGATTCGCACTGGATTCCCCGCGTGCCCAGGCTGTGGAAGCCATCTCTGCTGGCATTCGTGGACTTCCAGAAGGTCTCGTTGTTGACCAGGGAGAGCGACACCCTGACCTCATTGAAGGCGTTCAGCGTGTGGAAGTACAAAAAGCGCTCTGTAAATTGGGATTGGTTACTATAAATGTTTCCTTAAATTACATCCTTAAATTTTTTGTTCATTTTTAGAATTTGGTTCGCGGTGTTACCTTCCACTTCACTGGGACTGAGGCTCACTGTGAATATTCCCGCCTGCGAGTTGCTGGAGCGGCCTAGTCCCAGCAAAGGTGATGGCTTCATGGACTCGTGCTCTATGCGCCAGGATCGTCCCGTCAAGGAGTCAAATACGATCAGGCCATATCCCCAGGCATCGGCTATGTAGGCCCTGCCGCCCACACATCGATTGGGAGTGCCACTCGCGGCCAGATCCACCACCAAAGCCGTGAAGATGGACACGCTGGGGATGTAGGCATCGGGCGGAAGTGGGTGTCGCTGCACCAGTTCGTCCTTCACCAGGTCGAAGGTGAGGATTTGGGGCGGGCACAACTGCAGGGAGTTTACTTGCCCTGAGTCCACCACCCAGAGACGCCAGCATTCGTCAATCTGAGAGAATATAAGCAAGAATTTTAAGCAAAGACTACAAACATTCCCGGCAAGCCAAGTATTAAATCCAGGTAAAACGTATTTATACTAGTTAATGTATAAAATGAGCAAAGGATTTTTATATTTGTACTTACATAGGTCCTAATGGCTGAGGTGATGCCAGAGCAGTTGTTGGGCGGCACATGCCACTCCTCGTTGGGATAGGGCGCCAGTCTGGGATTCTCCACCAGCTCATTGTGCTCCGCAACCACGGTGGCCAGTGTGAAGGGTGTGGCCATCCCCAGTCGCGGAATCGTGAGGAAGGTGCGATGTCTGCCCTCATCGCCGTACTCAATGTCCACATCCACCGGCAGAAAGCGATTGCCCTTGGCCAGATCATCGCCCAGACTGAGGTTCGTCCACTGGTGCAGGGTGTGCAGCTCCTTGAGGACCAACCGCTGGCCCTGGACTGCACAGAATAGCGCGAAGAGGACGACCAACATGGCTTTTAACTGAGAACCTGCTAAGTGACAGTTCCGCGCGGTTCAAACGATTGCCGAAGACTAAAGATGTGCAGGTAGGCCCTAAAGTTCTTAGCCTTCAATCTGAAGTACACTCACAAAAACTTGAGCTACATATCTCGTACGTAGTGTTTGGCAAAATAAAATCTTAACATTTTAATTCAATTAATAATTCCTGAATAGCTTTGAATAGCTTTTCATATTTAATATGTTAATAGGATCAGGTTATTTATTTAATTTTTAGTTATTATACGTAATTTTTAATATGCGAATAAATTTAAAATTTAAACATGTCTTTTCCCCACCCTCCGCGCGATTGACATTTTGGTATTTATTTTTGCGAGTGTAATTGACCATCAAAATCAAAGACAAAGGTCGTGTACCTGTGGCGGTCAAGCAAACACTTTCGAATGGTCCCAAGATTTATGGTTGGACATCTTTTCTGTCGGCTTAAGAGTGTTTACACAGATCTCGAGGTCTCTGCGCACCAGAATTGGGCACCTAAAAGCAGACCCGCCCCTGCAGCAGATCCTCTACATCGCAGCGCATCACCCGATAATTGATTTCCCCGTAGTCAATGGTTCCGGCAAATATCTTCTGCAGCCGATCGGAGAGCAGCCACAGTTCCTCCTGTCCATCAGCAGGTCTCCGGACGATCTTTATGCCACTCACGAATTGCAGTGTAACCGGATTTAGAGCAAGTGGCTGGACGTTTCCCCGATCGTAGGGCCTTCGTATGTCCCAGCCGAAAATGCCGATGGGCTCCAGGAAGCCGCAGAACCAGAATCCCTGTCTGCTTATCGCATGTGTGGCGCACTGAACCCCTCTTCTACCCAAGGTAACGAAGTCTGACAGGGAGGAGCTGAAGCCCTTTTGCCAGTTGGTGGCATTATTCAGGATATCCAACGGAATGGCCAGCTCCAGTTCGTTGGACAGCGCGTGAAAAATCAGATGGCGGCGCAGTCCCAGTCCCAAAGGAGTCACCGCCAAAGCCAGAGGTCCATCGAGCAGCTCGAAACTCTCACCAGCCACCGAGTGCGTTCCGAACCTGGCATCCGGATAGGTGAATTTGTTCTCGATGCGCCAGGAGCTCTGGCCCACGACATCGTACACCACTATGGCCTTGCTGGTGGGATCCGCCAGATAGGCAAACACATCCTTGCACTGCCCACTGGGCGGTGGATCCCTGATGTCTGCAAATATATTCACGAATCTACTGACCTTCGCCTTGTAGGATGTTTCGGGCAGACGATACCTATGGATCAACTGATTGGTGGCCAAGTCAAAGACCACAACCTGTGGGGCGCAGTGCTGCACGAACTCTATTTCCCCGCTGTCCAGGACCCACATCTGACCACAGGCATCGATGTGAATCCGGTACACCGACGTTAGACCATCGCAGTTCGCTCCGTGGCTGCTGTGCCACTGGTAGCTGGGATAGGCCTGGATTTCACTTCCGTTCTCCCGCTGCACATTGGTGACGTAGGCCAGGGAAAAGGGAACTCCCTGTCCAAAGCGGGGTGACGTCACAAAGTGACGAGGTGGACTGCCATTAGCTGGAAAATGAAGTGAAGAGTATTTAGAGTACAAGGTCATCAGCATTAACATTGTAAAACAAATAGTATTATAAAAGGACCTATACCTATTCCTATTCTTCTTATTGAAAAAATATTGAACATTTATTCCCAGTTTAGTAATTAATATAATCTGTAATCGACTTGTTAAGTTAACTGTGCCTTTTCAAAATGCAAATTTTTTGGCTGACAGCGGCTTTGGCTACACAGATGTTACTAATTGATTATTCAACGTAAAAAATGAATACAAGTATATCTGTGACTCCCGCAATACTCTTGTGTGATGCTTACGTGGGTAATAAACGTCGATGTCAATGGGTATGGGACTATCCGGATTATAGCGACCATCTCGGATCAGCTGCTCCCGCTCTTGTTCACTGGGGAAGCCGTACTGCAGATTCTTCCATTCAAAAACTGTGGCTGTATGCTTATGATCCGAGGGAAGCTCCAAGTCCGGAAAGATGGTCTTGGGAGGATTAATGTGGTACTGACCCAGGCAATGATTCGGGTAAGCGATCCACACAGCAAGGGCTAGAATGAGCCTAGGATCAAACATCATTGCTATCACTGAGTTTTGTCAACTTTTTAGTGTTTTCACGTCTTACATTTTAAGAGCTATTTGGCACGATGGGAGATCCTTACGCGGGGGCTTTTGCCATTATACTAAACCATCGCACTCCAAAAACCATGCGAAATTGGGAGACAACAAAACCAGAAGCCATTTCAAGATATCTTACTTGTTCCAACTGGTTTTTAAATTGTATTTTGAATCTGCTTGGTGCTCATATATTATATATGCTCATTTTCCTGGAGTCTCATTTTTTGTTGTCTTACCCTTGCTGCGGGTATTTCGCTGTTTAAATGTTTATTGATGAAATATATAAATAGGCGATTTTAAAAATAACTAAGTAGTAACTTAAATTTGCAGTGGTATTTCGTTTATCAATATGTCATAATGCAAATTAAGTGAACTAGTTTTCAAATGGCTAAGTATTTATTAGGCTATAAAAAATCACATAACTTAATAGTTGAGATGCAAACATAGCTTAAACAGAATTCAACAGACACAAAAGAGATTTAATGTGTTGACATTGAAAAAAACCCGAACTAGTCAGGGACTGATTTATGTCAAAGCTGTTATCACCTGTCTTGCTAACCAAGCGTATGAATATCGAAATGCCGTGATTCAGTCGGTGGACTTTATAGTTAATGGGTTCCTTAAGATGTGAACTACCAGTACACTTACTTATAGAAGAACCTAACTTAGAATAATAAATTAAATGAAAATTCAGGTACTAAAATTGTATAGATGCATAACGCATAAGCTTATGGGAAACATGTATTTATATATTTTTTATTCCAAGCTTTAAAAATAAAATAAGAAATACCTGAGTCCATAGTGTTTACATCAAAAGCAAAATTTTTGGATAAAGTATTATTACTACGCTAGACGCCGCGGCAACCGAAAAAAGCAAATTAAAATTGGCACTGCAAGTAAAACTTAATTGCCTGAATGACTTTGATATTTTCGGAAGCACGATATCGCACACAATAATCTTAAACATGCTAAATGAACACATATTCCCAATAAATAAATCATTGGGTGCTTATGGCTTTATGAT